TTGGCACATAGAAATAATATTTTGTAAGGAAGACTTTTTTGCTTATGAAAGTACTAATACATGCTCTTTGTAGAAATTTTGAAAAATATAGAAAACATGAAGAAAATACCAATCTTCATACTTATGCAACTTAGATATATTTCCTTCCTATCTTCTTTTCTGTATGTATTACAGTACAATTGAGATCATATTCTTTATTACAATTTGTGCTCAACTGCGTTTTTTAACGAATAAGCATTGTCCTATCCTGTTAATGAGTATGTAATATTCTACGCTATGTATGTACCATAATTCATTGTTTGTGTTATTGCCAGTCCTTTAAGTTTAAACAATCATGTTAATCACCCATGTTTTTAGCCTTTTGAATTATTTTTTCTATAATTTGATAATATACTGATTATAAACAAATTTTTCTGAAAGGCATAACCAGCCTCATAAAAAGTATAAGTAATTTGTAAATACATGGTTTTTGCATGCACGTCTCACACCTCCAGGTGATTTTGATAAGCAGCTCACATGCTTCCTTTTTCAAATGACTTGTGTGAGTAGTCTTAAAGTCACAGCACAATAAATCCTTTAAGAAAAACGAAGAATGTGGTTTTGGTTTTGGAGAGCAACCTCAACCCCAATGTAGGTCATTTCCATTGTGAATCTTTGTGAAAGCACTGTTTTTCACATCCTTTTTCTGCAGAATGCATAGTGGATTATTAATGATGATAGCCCTGCTGTTTTTTCTTCTCATTCAAGCCACAGACCCCTCTAACAAAGCTGTGCTTTCAGCTTGCTGTGCTCAGGGGCGCCAGTCCACTTACCCTGGGGGGTTCCTTGGCATCTTCCAAGCCAGCATCTCTTTAGAGCCTTGTGTGCTGTATGATGACAATGATGCAATAGCCCAAGGTAGTGTTGGTATAAAAGTGCTATTTTTTTTTTACCTATTCTTAAATGACTTCATTATGAACAATAGTAATAATAATAATGACTAACTTCTATTGAGCACATATAATGTGTCAGGCATTGGGCTACGTGCATTATTTAGGTTCCTCCTTTCAATTTCATACTCTGAAGCTGGACTTCTGATTATTTCCACTTTATACATGTAGAAAAGTGAGGCTTCGAATGGTCAGATCACTTGGCCCATGCTACAGAGCTATAAAGGGCAGCAGGATGTGTCCCTGTCCTGTCTCCAAGCCAGTGATTCTAATCACCTGCCATACTGTCTCCACTAAGCCATTATAGCTCTTTACAAAGGTCACTGAAAATAGAAAATATTAGGGGAGTAATTCATCTCTGAAAGCCATTTTTGAGTCCTTGGGTCCTTTTTGGATGGCCTCCACCTAACCATGGACTCCTATGACCCTGCCTCCACGAGGGTCTTGTATGTTGGTGAGTGGAGTGAGGACTTGAACGGAGTTAATTTGCACAGGCTTTATAGAAGAAGCCAGTTTCACCTGGAGATCTGTAGGAGAGTTAGGGAGGAATTTAGCAGAGAAGATTTGGAAAAAGATTCCACTTTACCACTAGAAATAAAATATGCTCTCACTGAAATTGACAAATTAAGAGGAAGATACATCTAGAAGTTTTGTTTTGGTTAGAAGTGGGAGGTCTTTCTTGGGGATTAATGAAAAATTTTGGAGGAGGTTGGATGTATTTGTTGGAACTCAGATATGGCCTGCTAATGAATGGAAAGTTACTATATATTTCTCATCAGGAGAAATCACATGATGATTCACAAGCCATCATGTAAGATGGACTAGAGTGAATAGAAACTCTCTGATAAGCCATTTTGGAAATTATTTTATTAAGAATTGATTTTCTTATAACTTTCAACTTGGCCTCTTTCCGAATTTCTACTTCATCTTAGAAATTCTTTCATTTGGAATTATTAATGAATTTGGATGGGATTAATTAATCATTTA